ATGACATAAAACACAATGGAAAAATGCTTTGGAGTTCCTTAAATGATATCATGGGCAAAAAAAAACAATTCATCTCCATCGCTTATTGAAGTTAATGGGTCATTGATAAGAAAACCTTTGGATATTGCCAATCATTTCAATGACTATTTCACTGGTAAAGTGGAAAAACTAAGAAGTGAAATGACAACACTGAACAGTGAACCATCATATCTAATAATCTAATAATAATGAAAGAGAAGGATTGCTGTATTGAATCTGGTCCAGTTAGTGTGGGAGAGGTGGAAAAGTGGTTGTTATCCATCGATAATGATAAGCCACCAGGTATTGACAACCTTGATGGGAAACGATTGAGAACGGTAGCAGACTGTGTTGCCACCCCTATGTGCCATGTCTTTAACCAAAGCCTAAAGGAGGGTGTGTCTACAGGAGTGGAGGGAAGTTAAATTAATTCCACTGGCTAAAAATAGTAAAGCACCCTTTGCTGGATTTAACAGCTGCCCAATCAGTTTGCTGGCTCTAACAGCCCGCCCAATCAGTTTGCTGGCTCTAACAGCCGCCCAATCAGTTTGCTGCCTGTTCTCAGTAAACTGATGGAGAGGATTGTGTTTGACCAAATTCAATGCTATTTTTCAGAGAACACGTTAACTACTGACTGTCAGCATGCATCTAGAGAAGTGCCCTCAGCTTATACTGCACTGACTCAGATGATGATTGGTTAAAAGAAATGGATAATAAGATGATAGTTGGAGCTGTATTGTTAGATTTCAGTGCAGCCTTTGATGTTATTGATCATAAATTGTTTTAGAAAAAATGCTATTGCTATGGATTTACATCACCTGCCATCACATGGTCACATGGTTGGAGAGTTATCCAATAGAACTAACAGTGTTCACACCTGGCAACCATCATTACACACACCTGGCAACCCATCATTACACACACCTGGCAACCATCATTACGCACACCTGGCAACCATCATTACGCACACCTGGCAACCATCATTACGCACACCTGCGCCCCATCATTACACACACCTGGCAACCCATCATTACACACACCTGGCAACCATCATTACACACCTGGCAACCATCATTACACACACCTGGCAACCATCATTACCACACCTGGCAACCATCATTACGCACACCTGGCAACCATCATTACACACACCTGGCAACCATCATTACACACACCTGGCAACCATCATTACACACACCTGGCAACCATCATTACCACACCTGGCACATACCATGCATCTACACACACCTGGCAACCATCATTACACACACCTGGCAACCATCATTACGCACACCTGGCAACCATCATTACGCACACCTGGCAACCATCATTACACACACCTGGCAACCATCATTACACACACCTGGCAACCATCATTACACACACCTGGCAACCATCATTACACACACCTGGCAACCATCATTACACACACCTGGCAACCATCATTACGCACACCTGGCAACCATCATTACGCACACCTGGCAACCATCATTACACACACCTGGCAACCATCATTACACACACCTGGCAACCATCATTACGCACACCTGGCAACCATCATTACACACACCTGGACTTCATCACTACCTTGATCAGTCCCCCTTTATCTAGCTCTCTGTATCCTCACTCTTCAGGCAGTATTGGTTCTGTTTTCTCCAGACGCTTCTCGTATTGTATCTCTCCATGTTCGTTATTATTAAACTCACCAACTGCACCTGCTTCCTGACTCCCTGCGTCTCCGTTACAAGCTGGCTCAAAACAGAGCAGCACGCCTTGCCCTTAAATGCACATACAGAACTAACATCAACAACATGCATGCCAGTCTTTCCTGGATGAGGGTTGATGAGAGATGAACTGCTTCTCTTCTAGTTTTTATGAGAAATATTACTGTGATGAAAATTCCAGATTGTCTGCATAGTCAAATAACCAGAGGAAGGACCAAGTCACTATTATTCGAGTCACAAGCAAGTCTCAAATCACAAGGTCCGAGTCTTCAGTCCCAAGTAGAACAGGTCGAGTCTCCAATCAAGTCTAAGTCGGGCATTTTAAGAGCATGACAAGTCAAGTTAATTCACAAGTTTTTTAAATCAAGTCTCAAGTCAAGTAAAAATAAAATCTATACATGCAATGACTTGTTCAACTCCAAATCTTTGTCTATTTATTGAGGAACCAGACAGCCCTTTCATTATTTAGTCGACAACACATTTTGATGATGTCATTGTAAAATGGGGACCTAGTAGCAGTCGTAAGGGCATGACATCAGCAAATCAAAACTTTATTGGTCGCAGACACAGATTTGTAGATGTTATTGCAGGTGCAGCAAAATGCTTGTGTTTCTAGCTCCAACAGTGTAGTAATATCTAGCTAAATGCTTGTGTTTCTAGCTCCAACAGTACAGTAATACCCAGCTAAATGGTTGTGTTTCTAGCTCCAACAGTGCAGTAATACCTAGCAATAAAAAAATATACAATACACACATAATCCAGAAAAATACAAATGACATAGAAATTAAGAAATATCAGAACGAGCAATGTCAGAGACCGGAATATAAATACATATACATATAATGGTGCAGCAGTAGTTATATAGGATGGTGTGTATATACATTATGGACAGTAGATGAATAGAGAAGGTGTGTACAGCAGGCAAGACAGGTTGACTAGATTAATTTGCAGGTCTTGGTGATCCAATGGTGAAAGCGCCATATCATACAAAAAATTATACAAGTAAATGTACCAAATATACAAGGGCAATAGGCCAAAAGAAATAGCCTCTGTATCAGGTTTATCCTGGTCTATCTGGAAGGACACAGGTAGAGGGCAAGAAACCAAACTGATATTTCATCACCATTCATCAATGGAAGAATAATGGTCTCTTATTCAACGTAGTGACATCAAAGCATCGTACGCAGGCCAAGTTCCCTACAGCGGCTTGGGAAAGTATTCACCCCCCTTGGCATTAGTATTCTCCCCCCTTGGCATTAGTATTCACCCCCCTTGGTATTAGTATTCACCCCCCTTGGTATTAGTATTCACCCCCATTGGCATTAGTATTCACCCCCTTGGTATTAGTATTCGCCCCCCTTGGTATTAGTATTCACCCCCATTGGCATTAGTATTCACCCCCCTTTGCATTAGTATTCACCCCCCTTGGCATTAGTATTCACCCCCCTTGGCATTAGTATTCACCCCCCTTGGCATTAGTTTTCACCCCCCTTGGCATTAGTATTCACCCCCCTTGGTATTAGTATTCACCCCCCTTGGTATTAGTATTCACCCCCCTTGGTATTAGTATTCACCCCCATTGGCATTAGTATTCACCCCCCTTGGCATTAGTATTCACCCCCCTTGGCATTAGTATTCACCCCCCTTGGCATTAGTATTCACCCCCCTTGGCATTAGTTTTCACCCCCCTTGGCATTAGTATTCACCCCCCTTGGCATTAGTATTCACCCCCCTTGGCATTAGTATTCACCCCCCTTGGCATTAGTTTTCACCCCCCTTGGTATTAGTATTCACCCCCCTTGGCATTAGTATCACCCCCCTTGGCATTAGTATTCACCCCCCTTGGCATTTTTCCTATTGTGTTGCCTTACAACCTGGAATTAACATTGATTTTTGGGGGGTTTGTATCATTTGATTTACACAACATGCCTACCACTTTGAAGATGCAAAATATTTTTGTTGTTGTGAAACAAACAAGAAATAAGACAAAAAAACAGAAAACTTGAGCGTGCATAACTATTCACCTCAAAGCCCCCCCCTCTTATCCAGAGCGACATCCAATGAGTGAGTGCATACATTTTTCATACTGGCCCCCCGTGGGAAACGAACCCACAACCCTTGCGTTGCAAGCGCCATGCTCTACCAACTGAGCTACAGCAGGGCCAATATAATATAATAACACTAGTAAGTCAAAACACTTACCATATTCCACAATTTCTGAAAAGGAGATGAAAAAGGGTCATGTAAATGAATGAATGAATGAATGAATGAATGAGTGATATGAATGATATTCTGCTTACATTTATCGTGCTAATATGCCACCGATTCTTAGGTGTCAGACTTAACTGTCTTCTACCACTAGAAGCTCCAAATTGAATAATCCAAATGTGCATTTAGCTAAATCTGGCGCAATGCATCCATTTGCTTTTAGCTAAATCATTTCTCACTGCTCTGAGAATTATCTTTTTGTTGTACGTTGTCCCTCTCTAAGAAGATGTTGTGGTTACCGTCAGGGTCGGGGTCAAAGGGCGGTGCCATGAGGAAGTGTCCGTAGACAGTCTTGGTGACGGTCCCCAGGGAGTTGGAGGCCTCCAGCGTGTAGTTCCCATTGTCGAAGTGTGTTGGGTTGTTAAAAGTCAGACAGCCCTCCAGATAGTCCTGGTAGAAATCCATCTCTGTTCTGATGTAGTCACTCGGCAGGATCTCTCTCTGTGTACAATAATGATCAGAATACCGTTTATTTTTCAACCTTTTCAAAAGACCCAGACTCTTTACATCATTGGTTCTGAATCCTTTTTGAGGTTTTTCCCAGCACTACTCACCTGATTGAAACAACCAGCTCATCATCAAGCCTTTGATGATTTCAGTCAGCTGTGTAGTCCCCGGGAAAAAACTAAAACATGCACCTCTTGGGGTCGCCAGGAGCAGGATTTGTAAATGCTGCTTTACATAATAGAGATGAAAAAAAGTAATGAAATCCCACCTGTTTGTGGTACCATCGCAGTGTTGGGGAGGGATAGCCTCTCACTGTGAACTCTATGCAGGTGTCATGGCGCCGCTCAGGCTCGGCCAGTTTCAGGATGACTGGTGGAACTGTAAGGGGAGCAGAGGAAACTGTGAGGGTTTTGACACGGCATGGCTCGGCCAGTTTCAGGATGACTGGTGGAACTGTAAGGGGAGCAGAGGAAACTGTGAGGGTTTTGACACGGCATGGCTCGGCCAGTTTCAGGATGACTGGTGGAACTGTAAGGGGAGCAGAGGAAACTGTGAGAGGTTTGACACACTGGTGGATTCTAACTATTATTCATGGTTGGCCTTTCAATTCCACAAGCTAGATTTCACATTGCAAAACATTACGCCAGAGATGATGATCCATAAGATCAGCTGTGTGAGAGCTGAAAACACTGATATGATTAAAACCCAGATATCAGAACTATAATCCAGTTGGTTCCACATTTCCATGACAGTATTTCCCTGAATAAGCATTAAAATGGCAGCTCTCCCAGAACCAGGGCCCAGCACCCTATTCCCTACATAGAGTAGTGCACTACTTTTGACCAGGGTCCAGCACCCTATTCCCTACATAGAGTAGTGCACTACTTTTGACCAGGGTCCAGCACCCTATTCCCTACATAGAGTAGTGCACTACTTTTGACCAGGGTCCAGCACCCTATTCCCTACATAGAGTAGTGCACTACTTTTGACCAGGGTCCAGCTCCCTATTCCCTACATAGAGTAGTGCACTACTTTTGACTAGGGCCCTATGACTCATCCTGTAACTACATTAACAGAAGAAAGCTGTTGCAGGATACATTTACATTTAGGTAATTTAGCAGACGCTCTTATCCAGAGAGTCATTTAGCAGACGCTCTTATCCAGAGAGTCATTTAGCAGACGCTCTTATCCAGAGAGTCATTTAGCAGACGCTCTTATCCAGAGAGTCATTTAGCAGACGCTCTTATCCAGAGAGTCATTTAGCAGACGCTCTTATCCAGAGAGTCATTTAGCAGACGCTCTTATCCAGAGAGTCATTTAGCAGACGCTCTTATCCAGAGCATACAGAGATACACACACGAAGCAGCTAAACCTGGCTGCCTGGTATGCCTCCCAAATGGTACCCTATTCCCTATATAGTGCACTACTTTTCAATAGAGCCTTTATGGCCCCTGGTCAAAAGTAGTGCACTATGTAGGGTATAGGGTGCTGGGCCCTGGTCAAAAGTAGTGCACTACTCTATGTAGGGAATAGGGTGCTGGACCCTGGTCAAAAGTAGTGCACTACTCTATGTAGGGAATAGGGTGCTGGGCCCTGGTCAAAAGTAGTGCACTACTCTATGTAGGGAATAGGGTGCTGGACCCTGGTCAAAAGTAGTGCACTACTCTATGTAGGGAATAGGGTGCTGGGCCCTGGTCAAAAGTAGTGCACTACTCTATGTAGGGAATAGGGTGCTGGACCCTGGTCAAAAGTAGTGCACTACTCTATGTAGGGAATAGGGTGCTGGGCCCTGGTCAAAAGTAGTGCACTACTCTATGTAGGGAATAGGGTGCTGGGCCCTGGTCAAAAGTAGTGCACTACTCTATGTAGGGAATAGGGTGCTGGGCCCTGGTCAAAAGTAGTGCACTACTCTATGTAGGGAATAGGGTGCTGGGCCCTGGTCAAAAGTAGTGCACTACTCTATGTAGGGAATTATTCAACTCCCTTTTCTACTGGGTGAAAAACCACAGTGTGCCATCACAGCAGCAAGATTTGTGACCTGTTGCCACAAGAAAAGGGCAACCAGTGAAGAACAAACACCATTGTAAATACAACCCATATTTATGTTGATTTATTTTCCCATTTGTACTTTAACTATTTGCACATTGTTACAACACTGTATATATACAGTGGGGAGAACAAGTATTTGATACACTGCCGATTTTGCAGGTTTTCCTACTTACAAAGCATGTAGAGGTCTGTAATTTTTATCATAGGTACACTTCGACTGTGAGAGACAGAATCTAAAACAAAAAAACAAAAAATCACATTGTATGATTTTTAAGTAATTAATTTGCATTTTATTGCATGACATAAGTATTTGATACATCAGAAAAGCAGAACTTTAATATTTGGTACATAAACCTTTGTTTGCAATTACAGAGATCATACGTTTCCTGTAGGTCTTGACCAGGTTTGCACACACTGCAGCAGGGATTTTGGCCCACTCCTCCATACAGACCTTCTCCAGATCCTTCAGGTTTCGGGGCTGTCGCTGGGCAATACGGACTTTCAGCTCCCTCCAAAGATGTTCTATTGGGTTCAGGTCTGGAGACTGGCTAGGCCACTCTAGGACCTTGAGATGCTTCTTACGGAGCCACTCCTTAGTTGCCCTGGCTGTGTGTTTCAGGTCGTTGTCATGTTGGAAGACCCAGCCACGACCCATCTTCAATGCTCTTACTGAGGGAAGGAGGTTGTTGGCCAATATCTCGCAATACATGGCCCCATCCATCCTCCCCTCAATACGGTGCAGTCATCCTGTCCCCTTTGCAGAAAAGCATCCCCAAAGAATGATGTTTCCACCTCCATGCTTCACGGTTGGGATGGTGTTCTTGGGGTTGTACTCATCCTTCTTCCTCCAAACACGGCGAGTGGAGTTTAGACCAAAAAGCTCTATTTTTGTCTCATCAGACCACATGACCTTCTCCCATTCCTCCTCTGGATCATCCAGATGGTCATTGGCAAACTTCAGACAGGCCTGGACATGCGCTGGCTTGAGCAGGGGGACCTTGCGTGCGCTGCAGGATTTTAATCCATGATGGCGTATTGTGTTACTAATGGTTTTCTTTGAGACTGTGGTCCCAGTTCTCTTCAGGTCATTGACCAGGTCCTGCCGTGTAGTTCTGGGCTGATCCCTCACCTTCCTCATGATCATTGATGCCCCACGAGGTGAGATCTTGCATGGAGCCCCAGACCGAGGGTGATTGACCGTCATCTTGAACTTCTTCCATTTTCTAAGAATTGCGCCAACAGTTGTTGCCTTCTCACCAAGCTGTTTGCCTATTGTCCTGTAGCCCATCCCAGCCTTGTGCAGGTCTACAATTTTATCCCTGATGTCCTTACACATCTCTCTGGTCTTGGCCATTGTGGAGAGGTTGGAGTCTGTTTGATTGAGTGTGTGGACAGGTGTCTTTTATACAGGTAACGAGTTCAAACAGGTGCAGATTAATACAGGTAATGAGTGGAGAACAGGAGGGCTTCTTAAAGAAAAACTAACAGGTCTGTGAGAGCCGGAATTCTTACTGGTTGGTAGGTGATCAAATACTTATGTCATGCAATAAAATGCAAATTAATTACTTAAAAATCATACAATGTGATTTTCTGGATTTCTAGATTCCGTCTCTCACAGTTGAAGTGTACCTATGATAAAAATTACAGACCTCTACATGCTTTGTAAGTAGGAAAACCTGCAAAATCGGCAGTGTATCAAATACTTGTTCTCCCCACTGTAGCTCTGAATCCACGATATGGCAGAGGTTGAAAAGCCATAACAGGTAAGTTTTCTTAACAACAGGTTATGGTCAACAATATCAAAGGCTGCACCGAAATCTAACAGTACAGCTCCCACAATCTTCTTATTATCAATTTATTTAAATCAATCATCAGTGCATGTTGAGTGCCCTTCTTTATAAGCATGCTGACAGTCTGTTGTTAATTTGTTTACAGAGAAATAGCATTGTATTTGGTCAAACACAATTTTTTCCAACAGTTTGCTAAGTGCTGGCAGCAAGCTGATAGGTCTGCTGTTAAAACCAGTAAAGGCCGCTTTTACCACTCTTGGGTAGCGGAATGCCTTTGCTTCCTTCCAGGCCTGAGGACAAAGACTTTCCTCTAGACTCAGATTAAAGATAAGGCAAGACATGAAAATGGTTGTTTAGTAATGATCAACAAACAATTTGACAGAACTTGAAGAATTTTGAAAAGAGTAATCGACGAATGTAGCACAATCCAGGTGTGGAAAGCTCTTAGAGACTTACCCAGAAAGACACACAGCTTTAATTCTCCCTACCCTCCCCTCCCGGAGGATCTGAGCCATAGGACCATGTCTCAGGACTACCTGGCCTGATGACTCCTGGCTGTCCCCAGTCCACCTGGTCGTGCTGCTGCTCCAGTTTCTGCTGTTCTGCCTGCGGCTATGGAACCCTGACCTGTTCACCGGACGTGCTACCTTGTCCCGGATCTGCTGTTTCTCTCTCTCTCTCTCTCTCTCTCTCTCTCTCTCTCTCTCTCTCTCTCTCACCTGCTGTCTCGACCTCTGAATGACCCTGCTGGTCATCTATGAACGTTTGAACATCTTGAAGAACAATCTGGCCTTAATGGCCATGTACTATCTCCACCCAGCACAGCCAGAAGAGGACTGGCCACCCCTCAGAGCCTGGTTCCTCTCTAGGTTTCTTCCTAGGTTCCTGCCTTTCTAGGGAGTTTTTCCCCTCAGAGCCTGGTTCCTCTCTAGGTTTCTTCCTAGGTTCCTGCCTTTCTAGGGAGTTTTTCCCCTCAGAGCCTGGTTCCTCTCTAGGTTTCTTCCTAGGTTCCTGCCTTTCTAGGGAGTTTTTCCCCTCAGAGCCTGGTTCCTCTCTAGGTTTCTTCCCAGGGGATGTAGCTCAGTTGGTAGAGCATGGCGTTTGCAATGCCAGGGTTGTGGGTTCGATAAAATAATGTATGTGCTAACTGTAAGTCGCTCTGGATAAGAGCGTCTGCTAAATGACAAAAATTTAAATGTAAAATGTAGGTTCCGGCCTTTCCAGGGAGTTTTTCCTAACCAACGTGCCTCTACATCTGCATTGCTGGTCTAAAGTAGTGCACTATATAGGGAATAGGGTGCCATTCTCTGGTCTAAAGTAGTGCACTATATAGGGAATAGGGTGCCATTCTCTGGTCTAAAGTAGTGCACTATATAGGGAATAGGGTGCCATCTGGGAGGCATCCTGTATCAGGGTGTGAGCTAGCATCACAGGCTGTAGGGTGTAGCCAGCTCATTGGCCACATCAATTTAACTTCATTACCAAGACATCATCTCATTGGATCCTAAATGTACCTGCATAATTCCCCTGCTCCACCTGGTAATAGATGTATTCTGTTAAGACGGTAAAGGCTGTCCATTATTCTCCAGGCTTGTTTGGCATTAATCTAATCCATATTCCAATCCTTCTGTTCTCAGCGCTCTCTAACGAGTCATCACAGCCGTTACACCTGAAATAGCTCAGTAGCTTTCACAACCTTAAATC